ATGAATTACACTAACAGTTTCTATAGTTTGGATTTATGTCACTTTGATTCTTAACTTTTTAATTATGATACATTGGATCCTGAATTTTGAATCTTATTTTAAATAAAGACAATTGAAGATACCATTGATCAATTTCAAAGGCAAAATCGTAAGTTTGATAAAATATAAACTAATTTAACAAAAATAAATATCAAAAAGATAGTTTTGAATTTTAAAAAATTATTTTTATTCACCAAAGATAAAATTATGTAAAATTGATAAATTTTTTACACATTTATTTATTTATTTATTTTCCAAATTAATTTTTTTATGTGTTTGGATGATGATCATGAAATGGGTTGTTATTTTTATTTTCATTAAATTAGTTTCTATTTTTCCAAAAGTCAAATATGGTGACAACTATGATATCATTATTAAATCAATCCATTAAATCAAAATATTTAAAACTAAAAACGTTTCATATATTAAATATATCGATTATACATTGTGCCTGTTTGGCAGAGCTTAATTACAGCTTATTTCAGCTTTCAGCTTAATTTAAGCTATTTTGATGTGTTTAGTTTAGCTTATAGCTTATAACTTTTTGGAAGTCAGAAATTAGCTTATTTTTTGAGTGGGGCAGGAGATGCTTTAAGAATAAGCTGGAAATCAGCTTAAGCTGAAAGTTATAAGCTATAAGCTGTTGAGGCATAAACTATAAGCACTTTCCTACAGCTCTACCAAACAGGGCCATTAAAGTCTAGCAATCACCCATTACATGATCATCATCCAAACGCATAATAAAAAATAATTTGGTTAAATAAATAAATAATTAATGTGTTAACGATTTATCAATTTCATATAATTTCATATAAATAATTAATGTGTTAAAATTTAAAAATAATTTTTTGACATTTATTTTTGTCAAATTCATTTATATTTTATTAAATTGATAATTTTGCCCTTGAAATTGAGCAACGATATCTTCAATTATCTTTATTTGGAACAAAATTAAAAATTCATGATCAAATGTGTCACAATTGAAAAGTCAAAGACCAAAGTGACACAACCCCCCAACTATAGGAACCGTTAGTGTAATTCGCCCTTAATTTTATGAGATATATAGCCACTGTTGTGGTCAATATCAATTAATTCTTAGTTACGTATTTAAGAAAATAAAACAATAATTTTCAATTTAAAACCTCAAGGGGTTTGGTTGAATGAGAAGGGAGACAACCAAAGGACTTACCATTTAAGAGGTCGCAGAGTTGGCTTTCACGAATGTCAAATATCCCAAACTTTGGGTCCACTGAACGTTTACCCAATCGTTAATTTCAGCGTCTCGAGATTAGTTGAGATGGGCGTAGGTTAACCCAAATACCTAGTTATCAAAAAAACAAAAAAAAAATTGAATTTAAAAATGAACAATGTTAGAAATTCCAAATGAATTATCAAATATTGTACACAATAATCACACATGTGAGACCTACATGGGTGCCTTGTGAGTATTTGGTTGATAACTTATTTGAGTTATGTAACATTTTGTTTAAGAATCTAAGACATTATTGGCCTTATTATCAGTTAGGCACAAATCCTTTATTATCACCAATAATTCGAAACTTTATTCATTTCTTTTCCCATACACAACCATAAAAACATTCTTAAATAACATGTTTGGCAATTACTAATTATTTTTTCTTTCTCTAGCTCTCAAATTCCAGTTTAGCTATTAAAAATTAAGATTTTGATTACAATTATATTTATTTTAATTTTTCTATGTGTATATATATTATATTCCTTATAATTAAGAAGAAAATGACATAATTTCATACATTTTGAGTCATGACTTAAAAAAATATCATAATTAAATATTACATGAGATATAACTAAAGATCTCATAAGTCAACAGGTACATGTTTCACTACTAGCTTTCACCAATAGTTGTGTCACTTGGAGTTTCAAATTCAAACATTCCACTTCCAAATTATTCTCAGTTTCTCACGGGAAGGTATATCACCACCTATGGAAAATGTTTGGGTGTAGTGAGTCACACCGAATTATGATGCGATCACTTTTATTCCATCAGAAATCACAGACAATTCACAATGTTGCCAACATCTTCACATGTATAGTTACGAACATTTGTAAAGAGTTGTATACTTGCGAACAGTTGTACAGAGTTGGTGACTTGGGGATCAAATATTTCAGTGATTATGGGAGTTTTGTTCAATGCCCAGATGGGAGAGGGGGAAGCACTCCCTTTCTCTCTGAGTGGACTCTTTTGTCCTTGAAAAGTGAGAGAGGAGGAAATCCCAATCAAATCTATTGTGTGCTTATTCGACTGTTACGGTAATTTGTGATTCAAAAATAATTTTTTTGCATTTTTAGAGTAATTTTATATATTTTTGTGGTTTAAAAATATTTTGATGAAACAAACGGAGCATTTAAAAAAAAATGTTTCTAAAAAAACAGTTATAACAGAACTCATGTATATTTTTCTACAGTAACTGAACACACATGAAGGCTGGCTATGATCATGTTTTCCTTCAGGACAAAAAAATAAAAATAAAAAAGATTGAATTTGAGATTCAGCTAATTATTATCAAATTGTCATGACATGAAATACCCATTTTTCAACTACATTTCTTCATCATCACTTTTTTGATCAATCACCATCCATTCTCTCAAGTTGCTTTCTGGAGCCAACATTTGCCTATAATTAATTTTTTGTTTTTTTAGAACATCCTCACATATAGCCTAGCCGCCTGTGCAATTAATTCCAACTGCTGGAATTTGTGATCAGTGGTCTCTCTCTTTCTGTTCAAATGGCTGACAAAAAACATTGCCCTTCTTATGGTACACATACTGAATGTAATGGTGATTGAGGAAGTATATATATCTACACGTTTCACATATTTAATTAATGGTGTTTTAGCTCTTCTTTTCTCTTGAAGACATTTGGTTTCACGAGATGTTGTATGTTATTCTAGTATTTTAGACTCTGTTTAGAATCTTAAATTAATAAGAAAAAATTAGAAAAAATGCTTTCATTATTTCATTTTTCTTTTTCTCTTTTCTTTCTCTCCACAAATTCGAAATCTAAATACTACGTAAATTTTAGTTTTTAATGGCCTGGCATTTTAAAGGCCATTGGTTCAGTTATTAAAACTCAGCCTACTAATCTTGAGATTGTGGGTTTGAATTTGAGGGTAGTCACTCTGTGCAAATTATGTCAAAATTTAGAATTATACCCAATTTGCCTCTCCTAGATCCCCATCAAATAGAGACTAAAGTGGTTGTAATTTTTTTAGTCGTAAAAAACACCACTAAAATGCTATTGCAACGCTTTCACCTAAAGGCAGCTATGCGGCCACTTATGTTCTACATATGAATTGGTTTTCTTGTCTTAAAGGTTGTGGGCGTGCACATGAATCTAAAACTACAAACGAGTCAAGTTGTTCATGAATAGTTTGAGTTTGGCACGTTTTTTAGCCCTAATTATTTGCTAAATGAATAAATTTGAACTAAATTTTGTTCATGAATAGTCCCAATTTTGTTCATAAATTTTGAACAAGCATACCTTATAGCCCTAATTATTTGTTCATGAATAGTTTCAGCTTGACACGTTTTTGAGCCCTAATTATTTGCTAAATAAATAAATAAATTTGAACTAAATTTTTATGTTCGTTTAATAATCAAGCCTAGCTTGAACAATCCAAATCTTGGCTTAGCTCAACACGTTTGCGACTACCATTTATTATTCTAAGTTGTATTTTTGCCTGTTCAACTTGATATTTTTCTTTCCATAAGAATGAATTTAAAAATCTTTCTTAATCTAGTTTTGGGACTTGAAATGTGATATAAATCACTAGGCATGACTTGTTTCTTTCTACCTTTTTAATATTGTAATATATTGGTTGCTATAAGGTATGCTTGTTCCACAAAGTAAAACTCACATCTAATTGTCCATGATGGTATTGGATTGTGTGTTTCAGAGGAAAGTAATAAAGAACTTGAACTGGATTTCTCTGAAGATGAGGAATCACTCTTTATTAGAATGTATAATTTGGTGGGAGAAAGGTTACTTGTCATCCCTACTCATTTCGAGGATCTTTTGTACTCAAAATTATTGTTTCTATGTATCTAATGTACTCTCAATCGTATGATATAGTGAAAGGAAAATGTTTCGTAGCTCAAATTTTGCGGCTCAAAAGTGGCTCAAATGGCCAAAACGACGTCGTTTTGACCATTTTTATGTTGTTTTGTACTCAAAACGACGTCGTTTTGGCCATTTGAGCCACTTTTGAGCCACAAAATTTGAGCTACGTAGCATTGTCGTATAGTGAAAATTTTGAAACACTAAAATCTCAAGACAATTGTGTGACTAGGTGTGCATTGGGTATAGGATTTGAGTACAGAGGAGAAACACTAAAATCTCAAGACAATTGTGTGACTAGGTGTGCATTGGGTATAGGATTTGAGTACAGAGGATCCGAGCCGCTTCTCCTTTATGTTGTCTTTTGAGATTTTTTAGATTCTTCAACAGCATAATAATGATATGGGATATTGAACAATTGCATTCAGGTCCTTGGAAGAACAGAGGAAATTGAGATTGGAATTCTAGACACTCAACAAGTCAATGAAAGTTCATGAAAATCAATGTTGTTTGATCAATGAAACCGACTGATTTTGATGTTTAAGTTTTGGGGGTTTTAATTATTTGTTCTTTGTAGTGATCCAATCTGACAGCATGTACATGCTCAAGTTCTTATCTCCCTCTGGTTATATTTGTTTGTTTCTATGGTTGAAATCTAAAGTTTTCAAAAACTTATTACGAACCAAATCAAATTGAGGAGTAGATTACTGAAATTTGCTTGAAAATTTTATGAGTTTTAAAATGCATTTAAGCTTAAGATCGTTTCAAATGAACTTTAATCAATTCTTGTTTTTTAGTGTATAAAAAGCCTATTGAGCGGAGGATGAAAACAAAAAACCAAAAGCACCATATTCTACAAAGGAGCTCAAAGACAAATGAGGGAAACTGCATTGAGCCATGACTAGCCAATTTCATTGATCACAAAGGAACCTACTAGGCTACTAAGCACACAAACACAGAACATGATTGTTAATACTTGTCTCAATAAAATCTGTGGGCTCTCATTCAACATAGACTGCAAAATATTTTTACAGTAGTGCTAGTTATGAGTAATGAGATTAGTAAGAAATGCAATAGCAAGTAGAACACATCCATCTTCTCCATATCATACATTGCTTTGTTTGTAAAATTTGGTATCAAGGACTTGCTTACCGCACATCGCACATACCCCTGCACAACGTGACCCACATCAGATAATTTCAGAAAGTAAAAAAAAGTGATAAATGCATGAAACGACCAATAAAATAATAACGAAAATGAGAATTAGAATCTCCGATCACTTACCTTTCGAGTAAGCACAGGTGTGACAGTACTTAGCCTCTTGGTGTACTTGCTGCTTGCAGATTGTGCACTTGGTATTTCCATATGGAGTCCATCTGCTAAGCATATAAATTTTTGAATCAATGGAATGCACACTAAGAATAGCAGAATCATACCCTTGCTTGCTCATGTTTCACATCCATTTGTGTTTCTATTTTAATCTTGAAACAGTATTAACCAATTTACACTAGAGATTGCAAGATTTCCCAATATATAATATTGAATAGGACAAGAATAATGATTTTTTCAGTCTTTCACCATATAATAACATGCCCAAGTTTTTCATTACCCATTGCAATTTGCCCAAGGGCATTTCAAAAAGTAAAATTGTTTGTTATATGATGAAAATATCATGGATGAGGATTTGGTGATCATGGTCTTCTTGAATAGTTACAGATTATAACAGATTTTCCAAATCTGTAGACGAGTGCATGGGGAGAGATTGAGATGGTTGGCACCACAAGAAAATTTGTTTTATATTACAGAGGGCAAGGCTGTCTTTTTATTCAACTAGCCATTACCTATGTTTTAGAGAATTTTTTATGGCAACATAATTTTGAGCAGAAATAGGCACTTCCTCCCACAGTCAAAGCTGAGGAAATGCAAATACTTCCCAAACGATGATAATTTTTTTTATTTATCTATAGCTACTTTTTTTTTAAAAAAAATTTCTTTGAACATCATTACTATTTACCGCTGTTCTAATACAACCAGGCTAAATGAAGAGAGCAACCATTTATTTTATTTTTTGATTAGTAACTATAAAATATTTTTCAACATCCATTGTTGGTTGCATACTTGTATCCAGTGAACTTTCAACAACAGTGATCGTCGGTGCTGGAGTCTTTAAGAGCATCTCCAACCATACTCTCTAAAAAATATCTACCCAGAAGTCTATTTCTTTGGACTGTGTTTGAATCATGGATTCGGATAGGAAATGAAAAAGGAAAAGTGATAAAACCAAACAAATTTGTGTCCAAATCAATGATCCAAACATAACGTTAATGTACACTCCAACAATGCTCTCTAGTTTAGTCATCTTCCTTCAAATTATTATTTCTTTCAATTTTTCCAAAAAAAAAAAAAAAACAAATGCGATTAATGAACATATTTTTTGGCCAACGGAACAAGTTCATTAGGCAAAGGAAAAGATGAAAATTGCTAATCCAGAAATCGACACTTAGGTTAAAAAAATTCAAAATTTACCACCTTTGGAAGCACAATTCATTAGCAAACAAGCATCAAATAATCAAAATCAAACAAATTGCACTAAATTGGCATGAAATAGAAGCAGATTAGTTAGAGCACCAACACAATCTCTGTAAAATACAAGGAATTAAGGCAGTACTTCAAATTTTATTGTTTTATAAAAAGTAGGGTTTAGTCAGATTAGGGCTCAAATACTTCAAATTAGCCTACTTTCTTCGCATACAAAATCAATAACGCAAAATCACAAAAGCATACCGAACATTACACGAGTGAATCGCGAATCGCAAATCAATTGATCAATCGATAGTGCAAAAGATTTCTAGAGAGAGAAAGACCTGTTTTTCTTGGAGAGGAGTTTGTTCTCGTTGATCTTGCGGCCACCGCCTTCGGTGGTGTTGCTGGCTCCGGCCTTCCACTTGTCCGGGACTATCACCTTCGTCAACTTCTTCTCACCTACAATCACCATCAAAATCACAATTCAATTACGATACACACATATACACAAATAAATATAAATATATATACATATATATATATCACTAGATATATGTTCGTAAATCAGCATATGAGTATGAGATTCGAAAGAAAAGGAGGTGGAGGAAGGACTTACACTTTTCACACACCATTGTTATCTGGCAAGCGAGCGCTGTTTGGCTTCTGAGAACTTGCAAGAAAAGTGAGAGAAAACAGAGACCGAGTAAAGTAAAGGAGGCCTCTGTTTCTTTTGTACCAAATATACTTAAATAGTTTAATTAAAAAAACGTTTGTATAATAATAAAAACTATCAAAAAAGTTTTCAATGCGACAGTTTGGCCGAGTGGTCTAAGGCGCCAGATTTAGGCTCTGGTCCGAAAGGGCGTGGGTTCAAATCCCACAGCTGTCAATTTATTTTTTTATTTAAAAAAAAATTATTTTACATTTATATTTTTTATTTTACATTTATATTTTTTTTGGTTGAAAATATCACAACATTTATATGTTTTTTTGGTTGAAAATATCACCATCACTTGTGACTTTAATTTTTTTCCTTTACCACTCAAGCATTTTTACATTTTTTTTGGTTGAATATATTTTTTTTTGGTTGAAAAAATCACTTCATCTCTCAATGGAGGTGTTTGTTTCAGCTTTTCAGAGCCAACTTATGGCTTTTAGCTTTGAAAAAGTTATTTTGGACTGTTTGGTTAAACTTATTTCAAACAGCTTCTGATTCTAACAGCTTATTTTAACTCAAAAAAGTTGATTCTAAGAAGCTGCTCACCCCTTGCTTCTGATTATCAGTTTCTGCTGTGGACATGTTAATTTATGGTTATACTCTTAAATTTTTTTATTTTTTATTTTTTTAAAAATAGAAAAAGACTCAAATGGACTATAGATTATTATTATTATTTTTTATGAGAAATGTAGACAAACAAAAAATAAAAATTAATTGAAAAAGTTACTTCACAGCTTATTTAACAAACACAGCAACTTAAATCTATAATTCAACAGCTGCACCAAACAGATTAACAACTTCTGATTAAAGTCATAATCTATAATCTGTTAAGCTATAATCTATAAGTTGTTTTAACAGCTACACCAAACGGTTATATATACATATATCACTGTAACTTGTGAATAATATTTTATTTATGATGAAATATTTTTGGTGAAAAGATACTCCTCAAAACTATCACATTATTAAAACTAGAAAATTTTATAACTTGTATATAGTATATATTTTAAATATTTTCTCTCGTTGAAATATCTTTTTGTATATACTTTGAGTCTTACCATACTTATAATATTTTATTCCTCGAAATATTTTTTTTTGTATATATTTTGGTGTCTTACTATACATACCCACTTCAGTTATAATTGAAACATCAAGATAAATCACAATTAAGGTTTCATTTGGATACTTGAGTTTGTGGCTAAAAAATTTAAAAGTCACTATAAGTTACAATATCACTTTTCTCTATTTTATGTACCATTTTTTTTTTATATAAAAGTGAAAAAAAATCAATAAAAATAATCAATTCTCAAACAGACCTAAAAAAGAGTTAAAAGACCTTTTCAGTCATAAAATAATAATTACAAAATGTTATAATTAAATCACAATTAATATTATAATAAATTGGAAATAACTTTTTCACGGTTGTCCCGTGAATCAGTTGGTTTAGATGAAAAAAAATGCCAAATCAATCACTTGTAGTCACATTTGTAATTGTTTACTTCCATATGCCTCATGTGATTACAACTCTCTTTGTGTCCCTCTGCCTCCGACTCACAAACACCCATCACCATTGGAAATCCACAACCTACACCATCCATTGTCTCCTCCTACCCACAAAACACACTATCGACCATCTCTTTCTCCTTCTATTTCTCTTTCTTAGCACGAAACTCCTCTCCTTCCATCTTCCATATACTGTCTCCAGTCACATCTATCACAAAAACCCTCTCCCTTACAACCTCCAATCACTAATACACTTTTGAGTTTTTGTTGGGGTCGAGATTCGACCATATTTTGGATCAATCATCCCATGTTGAAGTCAGTAGAATGGGTTAGCAAACACTAAAATATAATGGCTAAAAGTTGTTGGACAATGGTAGTTGGTTTATGGTAGTGATGATGGGTCCGTTGATAATTTTGTTGGAGAAAAATGGTTGAATAAGAAATTGCCTCATAAATGTGTATATAACTCACACATTTAAGGCTCATCAGTTTTACAAAATTGATTGGGCAGTTTTGCTAGCATTAGTTGCCAGCCTTGATGGCTAGAGGCTCTTCCCCTCTCCCCCATGGTCTATAAAAGGAGGCCCTATTCCATGAAAAGAGATATAGAATTTTTCCTTGACATCCATACACTGTCAGTCTACTTCTCCTATAATTTTCTTCCTGAGAGAGAGTGATGCTGTTGTCCGTTCGCTAAGTTAATCAGAAGGTGCTTCTGTTGTAGCTGGTAAAAACCGTCGTATCTTGGGAAGTAGACGCCGGCGTACCTCTAGCACCCAACGGTGAGGCGGCGAATCTATTTTAAGGAGACTGTAGTATCACACAGGTTTCGGTTTCCTTCCTTTAACCATTTTATATTTTATCTGTATTTTATTCAGCATGTTATTTTTCCTGGGATTGAAGATTTGTTTTGTTCATCTCATAATTTTGCGATATGTAATGTGAAATTATGTAATGTGAGTATTTTTTCCTAACAAGCTTAAAATAGACCCAACGAAATGGCAACTGTCTCTGATGCTGCTACTGCTGCTGCTAATGTTGGTGGGGATCCGAACCCCGGGGCGACTGGCTTGCCAACCCCTGCTGTGACCTCTGTGGTCAATCCTCCTGTTGTTACTCCGGCTGTTCCGGAAGGACCGCTCAATCATCACGAGCAGCCGGAGAAGTTCACGGGAGTGAATTTTCAAAAGATGGCAGCAGAAGATGCTGTTTTATTTGACTATTCTAAGCCTTGCGAGGTTTCTGAGTGAAGATGTACCAGCCGTAGAGGAAAATGAGCAAAATAAACAAAAGCTCATGGCTCTGGACGCTTGGAAACAAGCAGACTTCTTATGCCGGAATTACATTCTGAACGGCATGGCGGATCCGCTTTTCAACATGTTCTATGCCAAGAAATCGACTAAGGAGTTGTGGGATGCCTTGGACAAAAAGTACAAGACCGAGGATGCTGGGGTAAAGAAATTTATTGTCGGTCGGTTCCTGGACTTCAAGATGGTGGACTCTAAAACTGTCCTGAGTCAAGTCCAAGAGTTCCAAGTGATTCTGCACGAGATACATGCAGAAGGGATGATCCTAAGTGAGTCATTCCAGGCAGCTACTTTGATTGAGAAGCTGCCTAACAGCTGGAAAGACTTCAAGAACTACTTGAAGCACAAACGAAAGGAGATAACAGTCGAAGAGCTCGTTGTCAGGCTCCGGATTGAAGAGGACAACAGGAAGAAAGGAGGGAGTACCTCCACTGTCAAAGCCAACATGGTTGAGCATGGCGAGTCCTCAGGGGCGAGGAAAAAACCACCGACAGGCAAAAGCTCAAAGTTGGGGGCTAGAGGAGGAATCTCCAAAAGGCCAGCCTACAAGCCAAAGGAGCCTACTTTTAGGTTCGATGGCAAATGCTTCAACT